TAAATAATTGTGGCCCTAGCACCGACACCTGTGGCACTCCAGTAATTACAGGGTGCCATCCTCAACACACTGCTCCCCTTATTCCAACTATCTACCTTCCCACCAACACTACTACAATACCTTCAAGCCATGGGCTCTTATCTTGTTAAGTAGCCTAATGTGCAGTACTTTATCAACAGATTTCTAAATAATCAAAATAAAGTACAACCACTGCTTTCCCATTATCCATACTGCTTGTCACTTCCTTAAAAAATTCTCAAAACTGTCAGGCATGATTACCCCTTCATGAAGCCATGCTATTTCTGTCTGATCATATTATGTATTTCTGAATGCTCTACTATTGCATCCTTTAAAATACTATAAAAATTTCACAATAGCAGAGGATTCACACTTCCTTTTTATACGCATTTAAAGGCACTCTTGCTGTCCATCTTGATTTCAACTGGCAAGTTTACCCTCAAAGTTTATCTTCTCCCTATTTATTATTTTGTTGGTTACCTTTTGTTCATTTTTAAAACTTTCCCAAACTTCTGGTTTACCATTAATCTTTGCCACATTGAATGTTTTTTCTTTCAATTTGATACTATCCTGAAGAACATAAGAAATAGAAGCAGGAGTAGGCCATCTGGCCTGTCCAGCCTGCTCCACCATTCAATAAGATCATGGCTGATCTTTTCGTAGATTCAGCTCCATTTACCGACACTCACCATAACCCTTATTTCCTTTACTGTTCAAAAATCTATCTTTGCCTTAAAAACATTCAACAAGATAACCTCAACTACTTCACTGGGCAGGGAATTCCAGAGATTCACAACTCTTTGGGTGAAGTTCCTCCTCAACTCAGTCTTAAATCCACTCCCCCTTATTCTGAGGCTATGCCCCCTAGATCTAGTTTCACCCTCTCATGGAAACAATCTCTCTGCTTCTATCTTATCGATTCCCTTCATAATTTTATGTTCTATAAGATTCCCCCCCCCAGCAATTCTTCTAAATTTCCAGTATTGTCCTAGTCTACTCAATCTCTCCTCATCAGCCAACCTTCTCAATTCCAGAATCAACCGAGTGAACTTCCTCTGCACCCCCTCCAGTGCCAGTACAGCCTTTCTCAAGAAAGGAGACCAAAACTATACACAGTGCTCTACGTGTGGCCTCACGAGCATCCTCTACAGCTGCAGGATAATCTCCCTAGTTTTAAACTCCATCCCTCCAGCAATAAAGGTCAATATTTAATTTGCCTTCTTACATTTCTTCATTCACTATGGTTGGCTTATCCTCTTCCTAGAATCCTCTTTCTCACTGGGATATACCTTTGCTGTGAGCCATGAACTATTTTCTTAAACACCTGCCACTGTTCCTCAACTGTCTTTGCTGCTAAATTCTTTTCCGAGTCCACTCCCACTTGCTCTGTCTTCATTTCCCTTTGTGATTATCCTTACTTAAGCTTAGCATAATTGCTTCTCACCCAAATTCCTCCCTTTCAAACAATGTTAAAAATTTTAACAAGGTATGATCACTGTTTCCTAGGGATTCTCTTATGCTGACATCATTTATCAAGCCTGCCTCATCACAGGTCACCAGATCCAAAACTGCCTGATCGCTAGTTGGGTCCACAAGATATTGTACTAGGAAACTGTCCCAAATACAGGCTATGAATTCTTCCTCATGGCTACCTCAACTAATTTTACTATGCCAATTTACATGAAGATTAAAGACACCCGAGGGTAAACATGTACTGCCTCTATTATACGCTCTCATTATCTCCTGATTTATTCAATGTCCCATTATGTAGCTGCTGCTAGGCCTACAGACTACACCTATCGGTGTAGTATTACCCTTTTTATTTCTTTCCTCTAATCCATATAGATTCTACATCTTCCGATCCAAGATCATTTCTTGCTTTCATACCAATTCCATCCTGTACCAACAATGCTACTCGACCGTCTTTCCTTCCTGCCTGCCGTAGAGTCATACAGATGGAAACAGATCCTTTGGTCCAACTGTTCCGCAAATATATAGTTCCCAGTTTTGATCACCTTGTAACTATGTATCTGTAATGGCTATAAAATCATATTCATTAATATGTTTTCATGCTGTTAATTTATTTATTTTGTACCAAAGACTACACGCATTCAAATGAAGAGCCATTAAGTTTGCCTTTTTATCACTTTTCTCCTACTTACCACGTTTGTACACTCTGTCCCTTCTCAGTCCAACCTGGGTATCGTTATCCAAATAGCTGACACGTAATGCTCCCCAGAGGCTTGGGGACCGCTTTGCAGAACACCTACGCTTGGTTCGCACTAAACAACTGCACCTCCCAGTCGCGAACCATTTCAACTCCCCCTCCCATTCCTCAGACGACATGTCCATGCTAGGCCTCCTGCAGTGCCACAACGATGCTACCCGAAGGTTGCAGGAACAGCAACTCATATTCCGCTTGGGAACCCTGCAGCCCAATGGTATCAATGTGGACTTCACAAGCTTCAAAATCTCCCCTCCCCCTACTGCATCCCAAAACCAGCGCAGCTCATCCCCGCCTCCCTAACCTGTCCTTCCTCCCACCTATCCCCTCCTCCCACCTCAAGCCCCACCCCCATCTCCTACCTACTAACCTCATCCCGCCCCCTTGACCGGTTTGTCCTCCCCGGACTGACCTATCTCCTCCCTACCTTCCCACCTACACTCACCTTTACTGGCTCCATCCCCGCCTCTTTGACCTGTCTGTCT